AACTTTTGGCAGAAAATATGTCCCTGTTGAATTTGTATGATCGGCTCAATCACAATTCATATTCCCATTCATCTTACTATTGGTTCCCACACTTCGAAAAACGTTTAGCCGGTTTGGTTTTTTTTAAATCCGATTTTGAAACTTTCAACCAACCCTTCGATTGGAGTTTTTGTCCACCCATTTCGGCGGTTTTGCATATTCCACGCGAAAACTCCCAAATCGGAGTTTCAAAACTTTTAATTCAACAAATTCTCTTTATATATATATAGAGAGAGAGAGAGAAGGAGAGAGAGCAAAACCTAATCAATCATTTTCAAAAGAAGCCCCTCTTTATACAAAAGTATTCTCGAAAGTAAGCCCATCTAAAGGTCGCAAAAAAAAAAAAGCCCAGGCCTTCTATGTTATAGTGCGGACAGAAGGAGGTAGTGTGGGGGTCATCTTAAACACTCGACATACAAAAACCTTCCAAAATCTTCTCAAACTAGGAGGTCGTCTTATACCTGTATCGCATACTACGCGAGAATATACAGTATGCTCCTGAATCTACTGATATAATTCGAAGAAACAGAAGAAAAAAACACAGAGCAGGAAGGTCGTTATATCTTCAGCTTTTATTCACATTACAAACAATGCATAAATTATACAGATGACTAACTACTGTCAACATACCTAGTACAGTAGTTAGTGGATACATTTGCGTCTCATACGATGCAATCACAAGTTTAAGTCAGACCGGAATGCGCGTGTATACCTTGTCGGCTTGTTATTCTCGTTTGTACAATGTGTCTATAGTTTTAATACTGTACTTCAAATATAAAGGGCCACCATTAGTCATATCGGATTTTAATGTGCGGCCCAAACACACTGCCTCGACACAACTCTGTGGTGAATGCAACACTGACAGAGGCACGTAACAAATCGTTTTTATGACAATTCGCTTAGTCTGTTATCAACAATCAACATACGGTGCTATGTTGTCAAGTGCTCAAAGAGGGAAAACAGAATGTTTTGTCAGCCGATCGTCGTTCGTCACAATAAGTGACCAGTTATTTGTAGATTTGAATGATCAAGACTATCTTAGGATGGAATTCATACCCACCTCTCACAAAAGAAACTCAGTGGCGTATCTGGTGGGTGCACATGGGCTCCCAAAAAAAAGCTTGTGCACCCCATTCCCCTCCCAACTGGAAATTTTTTAAGCAAAAAAATTATGCTACAGTAGTTAAAAATCACCTAATACCACCTTAATTTGCCACATAGTGCCACCTCACATTATCATCGAGCTCCCAACTTCACCTTTGCATCCCCCATTTCAATAACCCTAGATACGCCACTGATAAAACTATCTTGGGCTAGTCGGCCTATTAGTTCTTTGCCTACGGTACCAGACAATGGTGTACACAATTAAGTAGCGAATGTTCACGCAATTAGGAAAGTAGCAAGACCCTTTTTCCCATTGGCCCTTTGCTGGCTGATATGCCATTCTGTATCACCCTTTCTAAACTTCTCATTAAAGGATGAAACAAAACCTTTCTGAAGGTCGAAACCTGCCTTGGTCATTAAAAAATGTAACTAAACAGTATAGCACGAGAATTTCAAGGTGTCGGGGAGTACACATGCAAAAACCGGTTTGACAAAAACCTATTTCATTGTTTGTTTACTGTATGTAAATATATACAAAGCCATAATAGCCTACATCTACTACAGCTATTCCATGTAAACGATTTCCGTAATTATATTATGTTCATTGTCACTAGCATTCACCATTTATTAATCTATGGAATAATGTATATTTAATTGTTTGTTTATTCTAAAAAAAAACTATTTTTAACTATGGATAGTATTTTAATATTTATGCTTGATGAAATTTTCTATTAATGATGTCCTAACTGTGACAAAAAGAAAGTGCTTGAAATAACATTTCTTACTCAAAACATAGTATTATTATTATTAACTTATAAAGAAAAGATGACGATACTGTTTGGATATTGGATAAGTATGTTTCATGATTACTGTATATTATAAAACTTAAGCATTTTAATCTATATCTGCATAATCAAATACTCTACAACTGAGGTGATACCCAAAACTAAAGCACCATCCAGGTTACGAAGTTTTCTTTGAAAAGAAACTGTTGCATGTCCATATATAGTCATGATGTGCCTATATATGGTCATGATGTGATGTCATCATGACCTTATTAGGCATGTCACGTTTTGTGTTTTTCTGGATAGGGCTTAGAACTAATCTAGACTGCTACTTCCAGAGTGATTAAAAAACACCAATTACAACATAATTTTGTTTTACAATGCCATCACAGACCGCCTCAGTAAAAGACCATCACAATGTTGAAAAAGCAACAGCTATCCAACTGCTACTTAGAATCTGTCAAGTTAAACAAAAATGATCATCAGTAGTTAATTTCAGGATTAATAATATGTCGTTCTTATATAGCGCTTAATGCCTTAACAAAGCCTCTAATAGATTAATTGTGAAATTATATTTCTTGGGTAGCCGCTCCCTCCTTCATGTTACACATGCCAGTGCTACATCAAAACAGGCATAAGTTAATTAAAAATTGAATTTTATGCTGAGCCTTCAGGGCAGGGGTGAGTAAGTGAAAGTCACACATGTTTCTTTTTTGTCATTTTTCAGGGGATGATACATCTTTAACACAGTTTTATTTAAACAATAATATATAAACTTACCTAAGTTGCAATCATTAGTTCGTCATTGACTATTAACCATACTTTCTCTCATGCCAAGATTCTCCTTAAAAAAAACACACAAATAAAACCTTCATTAAGTGAATGAAGATAGTTTCTTAAAGATTTTGCTTTATGTGACCATTGTTGATACAAGGACTTCAATTTCGACATCCATGGGTGAAGAACTTTATTCATGTGATCTGTCCCTATCCAGGAGCATAGATTACTAACTTCAATAACATTAAATGTCGCCCTCTTACAACAGGAGGCAAAATATGTAAATGTAGTGTAAAACATCTAGAAATGTATGCTATATAAAAATGATACCATCATCATTATCATAGTTATTACTTTACTTACTATCATATTTTAATTGATTAATATTAACAATAACCTTATCGTTTATTTCATATCTCTGTTTGAGTCCAGCACTGGATGCAGATGTTCCTGATTTCAAGTTGGTCTGGACTTTCTGAACATCCACCATGTTGACTGACTGGAGAGGCTGTCTAGCAGCCATCTTTGCCTGTTTCATTGGAGGTTGAGACAACGGAAAAACGCCAGCTGACATCGAGGGCGCTGTTTCTATTACTGTCAAGGAAGCAGGATGACTACCAGAAATCTTCAAAAGAATAATCAAACATTGGGTGCACATTAAATAATAAATTATTACAAAATCAATCAAGATAAAGTAAATTTTTCAAAATTCGATGAACTTACTGCTTGTTCTAACTCTGCAGGTGTGTCAGAAATGCCACTTTTTTTTGTAAGCTGTTCAATCAAACCCTGTTCAAAAAGAAAAGGTAAACTGAATCTTTACAGAGGGTAGTCTGTAATTTCATACAGGTCTCCCTCTGATTAAAGACCCTCCGATTAATGACCACTTTATTAACAAATGTCTAATCTTTATTATTCTAATTAGAAACCAAAGCTGCCGCAAAGATCATTGTAACCCTGGTCCCAAATGTGGTCTTCAATAATTGGAGGCAGACCTGTATGTAAACTGTAATGATTGGTTGGAGCAATGTATCATAGCATAGCAGTCCCACTAATGTACTGCAGGAGTGACTAGGAAAACTGGCAGACATCTTGAAAATAGTGTACCTAAAATTTGATTACAATGCATTTTATTTGACTGATTATTACATGAACAACACTGGAAGCAACTATAAGCATGTGTCAGCAACATTTAGGCCATTTAAGCATGTAGATCCTTTGACCAGGGAGAAACACAGCACTTTGTAACCTGATAGCACTTTGTAGGTACCAAATAACAAATGAAAATAAATGACAATTAACACTGAAGTCGCTATGCAGGCCTTGTGCTAGTGATTGCTACCCACAGTCTTGTCCTTGAAGTCTATTCTGATTCTACCCATATTTCAATAAAATTGAGGTCCAATGTTTCATTAGTAAACTCTCAAAATAACATCATGTAGTCATTTGTACATTTCTTTCTGAATTTTAGGACTTGGTTTGGATTGAATATACGAGGTGTAGAGAACAAAGACAGTCACAGACAAGTTAAACCATCCTTGGTTCACCTTGTCGTTAACAGTTGAATGCACCCTGTTAGCTTTATGCATGGCTTTTGAGCGAATATCTGCAAAAAACCTAAGCTATCTTGAAAAATAACACTGGATACCGATTGGTCAAATTCTACCAAGGTTCACAGCAAGTGATTGAAGGGACTATTACATAAAGTGTTTTAAGCTTGGCAGGCCATATTGCTCAAGTCTCCCGCTGTTTAGTTGTGTCGGACACTCACTGCGACATGCGACGGTTGTACGACAGTCGCACGATGAATCTAACTCCACTCCCTGTGAGCGCTAGACGATGCAACGCCGTCTGCTAATTGTCGGTGGTCAGCTGAACCCATCATCATAAAAAAATGATCCGTTGCAAGCGTTGTCGTGTTGCATTCTGTGAGGTGTAGTGAGTGCCTGACTTAGTTTCACTTTGAGTGACCACAAGCAATGTTACTGGGTAACACAGCATTAGCCACAAATGTGAACACAGACCAGAACAACATAATAAGGACATACCTTTGCCTTTGATATTGCACTCAAACTTTTTGGCGAATGCACCCGGACTGATGAAAGCTGACTTATCAGAGCCTGCAGTTGACTTGCGCTAATGTCACACGTACCAGAGTTCGTTGAACTTGCCAATTTATCTTAAAAAAAAAGTTCATATATATTTACGTATATTTTGTATCTTATAAGCATTTACAGGTTTCAAATTTATATTTGAAAGTGCATTATTGTTATTATCATAACTCATTGTTTAGAATCCAGAATCTAGTTAGGCATGTTTGTTTTGTGAGGAAACACAGTTTTTAATCATTACATCTTGATTATTATATTATTACAATACATGTTAGTTGACGTTACACATAAAGTTATGTGCATATACCATACATAGGTAGAGCACAAGGAGAGTTAAGTGATCAGCTGACCAGGATATAATCTGGAGGCTGCTACAATCACCATCATCATCTTTACGCTGTTATAATCACGTATAATCATTATGTGAAATTGTACTTGGTTCCTGCAACAGCTTACCTTGCGTCTTGTTCCTTAGGAACGGGTGCTTCAGAAGTGTCTCAATGGACGGACGTTTTTTGGGGTTACGAATCAGACATTTCTAATACAAACAAATATGTAAATTTAATTAAGACAGCCTGTCACATGACGCAGATTGTGTTCAACAACTAGAACACCTACATCACTCAATCCCCTACATTACGTTCAACCGCAGGATAGGGAGAGACGTATGATTTATTTAATAGCGAGCCATCAAACAATCATTGACAGCAGCTTTAAAGCTTGGTCCAGATTATCAAATTTTCTTTGATAAAAAACTGTTGTATGCCCATATATAGCCATCATGACCATATTTCATTTTCAAGTATTTTAAAAATCACATTCCTTAAGAAGCTGAATTGTACTGATTTGTACAGTACATTCATAATAATAATAATATGTCGTTCTTTTATAGCGCTTCATGCCTTTGCAAAGCCTCTAAGTGCTTCACATTACACATTCACATTAAAACACCAAAGCAAAGAGAAAATACATACATATATATATATATATATATATATATATATAGGAGCTTAGAAGTATCCATAGGGGGAAACTAAAACAATGAAGAGGGTTAAAAACAGTACCTTAAGGAGAAAGTAGT